CCAAAGCATTGTGGATGCTCTAATAAGGTGGGCTGATGCTCGAGTCGAGCCGAGTCGCGGCTAATTGGACACGTCTGGACAAAGCAAATCACAATCCACAAATTTTAGATTGACGCGTTGGATAGTTAAAAGGGATCAATTAATCATAGTTTTGTAATGAAAATGAATAAACATAGGGTAGCTTATTTAATTAAAAAAAAAAATCGGTGGCAAAAAATAAAAGAAAAAAATACTGTGGACAAAAATTGAACGGACGGATTTTGGAAATCCGTTTTTCTTAAAAAAAGGGAATCCGTTTTCTTTTTTTTTAACGGATTTTCAATATCCATTTTTAAATTTTTTATTTTTTTTAGATCAGATTGTGAAATTCGTGCTCGTTAGGGCTCGTCCGAACTCGGAATTGAGTTCTGTTTTTTCCTACATGTCGCCAACGAATCCTTCTACGTATTTATGCTTTCGAATCTAACTTATTTTTGAAAACCTATTCTCCCAAAGCTCTTGACTTGAAGTTGGCAGCTTCCGTGCACGACTTCGCATATTGAGTCCGTTCGGACTCGTCCGAACTCGAAATTGAGTTTCGATTCATAGATATCACCAACGAATCCTACTACTAGAGCATGCTTTTATGACCAATTTTCGGGCTGGAACTATTCCTTGCGGGGCTTCCAGCCAAAAACGGGGAAAAAGAATAAATAAAACGAAGAAAACTAGCAAAATTCGGGCTCGTTTGGGCTCGTCCGAACTCGAATTGAATTTCGTTTTTTTCGTACATGTCGCCAGCAAAGCCTTCTGTATAATTATGCTTTTAAATCCAACCTATTCATGAAAACCTATTATCCCAAAGCTCTTAACCTGAAGTTGGTGGCTTTCTTGCACGACTTCGCATATCGAGACTGTTAGGACTCGTTCGAACTCGAAATTGAGTTTCAATTCTTCCTACATGTCGCCAACAAATCCTAATACTAGAGAATGCTTTTCTGACCAACTTTATGGCTGGAACTATTCCTTGCGGGGCTTCCGGCCTAAAACGGGGGAAAAGAATAAATAAAGAAAAAGACTAGCAAAATTCAGGCTCGTTTGGGCTCGTCCGAGCTCGAAATTGAATTCTGTTTTTTCCTATATGTCGCCAGAAGCCTTCTATGTAATTATGCTTTCAAATCCAACCTATTCTTGAAAACCTATTATCTCAAAGCTCTTGACCTGAAGTTGGCGGCTTTCTTGTACGACTTCGCATATCGGGACCGTTAGGACTCGTTCGAACTTGAAATTGAGTTTCGATTCTTCCTACATGTCGCCAATGAATCCTACTACTAGAGAATGCTTTTCTGACCAATTTTCGGGCTGGAACTATTCCTTGCGGGGCTTCCGGCCAAAAACGGGGGAAAGGAATAAAAAAACGAAGAAGACTAGCAAAATTCAGGCTCGTTTGGGCTCGTCCGAACTCGAAATTGAATTACGTTTTTTCCTACATGTCGCCAACGAAGCCTTCTATATAATTATGCTTTAAAATCCAACCTATTCTTGAAAACCTATTATCACAAAGCTCTTGACCTGAAGTTTGCGGCTTTCTTGCACGACTTCGTATATCGGGACCGTTCGGACTTGTCCGAACTCGAAATTGAGTTTCGATTCTTCCTACATGTCACCAACGTATCCTACTACATTAGCATGCTTTTACGACAAATTTTTGGGCTAAAAATATCTATTGGGGCTTCCGACCTAAAACGGGGGAAAACAAAAGGAAAAACAAAAAAAAACTAGCAAAATTGTACTAATTTGAGTTCAATTGGACTAATTCGAGTTCTATTACACTATAATTGACCGTGATTGGTGCTGTAATCGAACTCGAATTAGTCCAATCAAAGTCAAATTAGTATAATCGAACTCGAATTAGTTCAATCACGGTCAATTATAGTGTAATCGAACTAGAATTAGTCCAGTCGAAGTCAAATTAGTATAATCGAAATCAAATTAGTCCAATCGAAGTCAAATTAGTCCAATCGAACTCGAATTACATCGAAATCAAATTAGTACAATCGAAGTCAAATTGGTCCAATCAAAGTCAAATTAGTACAATCGAAGTCAAATTAGTACAATCGAAATCAAATTAGTCCACTCGAAGTCAAATTAGTCCAATCGAACTCGAATTAGTCCAATCGAAGTCAAATTAGTATAATCAAACTCGAATTAGTCCAATCACGGTCAATTATAGTGTAATCGAACTCGAATTAGTCCAATCAAAGTCAAATTACTATAATTGAAGTCAAATTAGTATAATCGAAATCAAATTAGTCCAATCGAAGTCAAATTAGTCTAATCGAACTCGAATTAGTCTAATTGAAATCAAATTAGTACAATCGAAGTCAAAAAAATTAGTCCAATCGAAGTCAAATTAGTACAATCGAAGTCAAATTGGTACAATCGAAATCAAATTAGTCTAATCGAAGTCAAATTAGTCCAATCGAACTCGAATTAGTCCAATCAAAGTCAAATTAGTATAATCGAACTCGAATTAGTCCAATCACAATCAATTATAGTGTAATTGAACTAGAATTAGTCCAATCGAAGTCAAATTACTATAATCGAAGTCAAATTACTATAATCGAAATCAAATTAGTCCAATCGAAGTCAAATTAGTTCAATCAAACTCGAATTAGTCCAATCGAAATCAAATTAGTACAATCAAAGTCAAATTAGTCCAATCGAAGTCAAATTAGTACAATCGAAGTCATTCTAGTCCAATCGAAGTTGAATTAGTACAATCGAAGTCAAATTAGCCCAATCGAAGTCGAATTAGTACAATCGAAGTCAAATTAGTACAATCGAAGTCAAATTAGTACAATCGAAGTCAAATTAGTACAATCGAAGTCAAGTTACTATAATCGAAGTCAAATTAGTACAATTGAAGTCAATTATACGAAAATTGAAGTCGAATTAGTCTAATCGAAGTAAATTACTAAAATCGAAATCGAATTAGTCCAATCGAAGTCAAATTAGTACAATCGAAGTCAAATTAGTACAATCGAAATCAAATTAGTCCCATCGAAGTCAAATTAGTATAATGGAACTCGATTAGTCCAATCACGGTCAATTATAGTGTAATCGAACTAGAATTAGTCCAATCGAAGTCAAATTACTATAATCGAAGTCAAATTAGTATAATCGAAATCAAATTAGTCCAATCGAAGTCAAATTAGTCCAATCAAACTCGAATTAGTCCAATCGAAATCAAATTAGTACAATCGAAGTCAAATTAGTCCAATCGAAGTCAAATTAGTACAATCGAAGTCATTCTAGTCCAATCGAAGTCGAATTAGTACAATCGAAGTTAAATTAGTACAATCGAAGTCAAATTAGTACAATCGAAGTCAAATTAGTACAATCGAAGTCAAATTACTATTATCAAAGTCAAATTAGTACAATCGAAGTCAATTATACTAAAATCGAAGTCGAATTAGTCCAATCGAAGTTAAATTACTATAATCGAAATCGAATTAGTTCAATCGAAGTCAAATTAGTACAATCGAAGTCAAATTAGTACAATCGAAGTCAGTTTACTATAATCAAAGTCAAATTAGTACAACCAAAGTCAATTATGGTGTAGTCGAACTCGAATTAGTCTAATATAAAGTCAAATTAGTATAATCTCGGGCAATTATGGTGTAATCAAACTCGAATTAGTCCAATTGAACTCAAATTAGTACAATCTCGGTCAATTATGGTGTAATCGAACTCGAATTAGTCCAATTGAATTCAAATTAGTACAATTTTGCTAGTTTTTTTCGTTTTTCTTCTTGTTTTCCACCGTTTTAGGTCGGAAGCACCGCAAGAAATATTTTCAGCCCAAAAAATTGCCCTAAAAGCATGCTCAAGTAGTGGGATTCGTTGGCGACATGCAGGAAGAATCAAAACTCAATTTTGAGTTCGGACAAGTCCTAACGGTCCCGATATGCTTAGTCGTGCAAGGAAGCCGCCAACTTCAGGTCAAGAGCTTTGAGATAATAGGTTTTCAAGAATAGGTTGGATTTGAAAGCATAATTACATAGAATGCTTCGTTGGCGACATGTAGTAAAAAACGGAATTCAATTTCGAGTTCGGACGAGCCCAAACGAGCCTGAATTTTGCTAGTCTTCTTCGTTTTTTTATTCTTTTCCCTCGTTTTAGGCCGGAAGCCCCGCAAGGAATAGTTCCAGCCCGAAAATTGGTCAGAAAAGCATGCTCTAGTAGTAGGATTCGTTGGCGACATGTAGGAAGAATCGAAACTCAATTTCGATTTCGGACGAGTCCTAACGGTCCCGATATGCGAAGTCCTGCAAAAAAGCCGCCAACTTCAGGTCAAGAGCTTTGGGATAATAGGTTTTCATGAATAGGTTGGATTTGAAAGCATAATTATATAGAAGGCTTCGTTGGCGACATGT